TTTTTTTATGAGCGTACCGAGCTCCATGGGTCTGTGCTCCAGTGAGGACTAGAAGGACACGGCTGAGTATTGCACTGCTCCCGATCCGGTGGCTTGTCGTGGATCTCACAGCTCAGATCGTTGAAGCGCTCTCCGTTGGGACGCTGGCACACCACCAGCCTTGTTTTTATCCCGCTGCCACAAGGCTTAGTGCACTAAAGACAACACAAACGAGGGTTTTACAATCCAAGGGCGACAAAGTTTCTAGTTTATCTAAGCTTCAGTAATATGAAGCGTCGCCTCACCTCGCCCCAGTTGCCATAGACCCATTGAGGACACGGGCCCGACTCACAGGATCGTTGCTCGGTGGGTCGGTTGCGGTCCTCGCAGCTGTTGGCGGGGTAACCGTTCTCATCCTGGCACACAACGACTCGGCGTTGGAAGCCTCCGGCACACGTGCTGGAGCACTGTGGTCAACAGAGAAAAGGTAAGGTGCTCAGTCCAAAGGTATTCCCAGGAATAATGTTCAATGAAATGATTTATATCATCCACTTTACTGGACCTTTTGCTATGTATTCGATAAATATGAATAAGTTGGATCTTTGCGCAGTGTTTCATTTAGCTCTGAAGTCAAAACTTGGATACGGAATAACATCAAATGCAAATTAAGTATGCTGCTGGTCCCAAATTCGACAACAGGTAGAATTTGGTATCTGCTGGTGAGTGGGCTAATTATCAGTAGCAACAAAAGTTATAGTGGTTATAGTGAATCCAGAGCTTCATCTTCTAGGAGCTTCTATAATATGTCTTACTGCTTCAGAGTTTGAAAGGTAGAGTTTGAAGTTTAAACAGAAATTATATAATTTTCTTTTTTCCAATGATACTTTTCATTTAATGCTAATAAAGGCAATTCTGCAATATAGTTGAATACCCATCATTATATACACGGTAATCACAAGAATCACCTGTTATAGTGAATCAATGTACATGAGCACACAAAGCAACCAGAGTAAAAACCACCTCAGGTCTGCAGTCACAGCATTTCTGGTGCTACGTTAAATCATTTTTCAGCAAAACAGAGGAAGGAACACTCACCCAAAACAGCTTCACTTCCCCCATTTATTTCAAGGTTAAAAGTTATCTTTGAAGAGATGTTCTGACAAAAACTACACTTGGAAAAAAAGTCAGAAAGGCAGGAGGATCTGCAAACTTTCAGAACTGGCAAAGTTTTCTGAATGTTGATTGTTTCTTAGTGGCCATTTAGATTTTATAGTAGGTATTTATACCCCATATATATTCCCAGAAAAGCAAGGTATGAAAAATACTGCAATAAAAGCATCTATAAAGAATAATACGCAAAATGGGATAAAAATCTCACTTTAATGATTAATTATTTTTACACATTTCTGATGGCACATATATTGGTAGCCATGCTGCTAGGAGTTTGTATGATCCACTTTTGCCAGGAGGACAGCACTTACTATTAATAACATTTTAAAATTGTACATTAAAAAAAATGATGTATGGGACTTTCTTGGTCGCCAGAGTTTTTATGCAGAAATAAGGTTTTGGGAATCAGAAGGACATAGAAATGATTTTATGTGAAGAATCATTTCAGTTGAAAGACTTTGATTCCCTTTAAAATGTTTTTAATTTAAAGGATATGAAATTTTAAACACAAATATTAAAAATTTGACACCATTGGTGTAGTAAAAAAAAAAGTTATTCAGTCACAATGTGGAATGTTAGAAATATGGTAAAGATGAGATTTTTCTTAAACTTTTGAAAGAATGAAAGAAATACACATTTTTAAGCTTTTATAAACATTGTGGACGGCGCTACATTTCCAAGATCACTTAGTAATTTTTAAATCAGTATGCAAGACGCCTCACCGCTCCCCACGGTCCGGTCCGCCACTGGTGGGAGTGGCTGCGGGCCACGTTGCTCCTGGTGATGGTGTTCGGTGAGGACGGCAAAGGTCTGGACTCGCTGGGACGGGATGGGCACTGAGACATGGCGCAGTCCTGCTCTGTGGCCGGACGATCGTCTGGGTCGCACTCGTTCACATTCACCTCTTGGTCGCTGAAGCTGACGCACAACACCTCTCGCGTCGTCTTCCCTTGGCCGCACGTCACAGAGCACTGAGAAAAATGCAAGCGTGCGGTGTCAGTCGATGCGTTTTAGATTAAACGTCATTTACTCAGTGTTTGAGATCAAAGATCTGGAGGACATGAAAGAGCTCATCTCTGGTTTAAACTCTGTTTGTCTCACAATGATTGGGAGAGAAAAAAAAATCCAAACGGCTTCAGCTCCTTATTACAACCATTTCTAAATCTCAGGATCTTGAGGCAGTTTATTTCTTCCTGTGCTCCTTGCAAACAGTATGCCAGTGGTCCCCAAAGTCGGTCCTTGAGGGCCAGGATCCTCCATGTTCTCGTTCTCTCCTTAGTGGTAGTAACAACCTTTTCAGCATGTCAGTGCTCTTCTTTGGCCTTCTAATGAGCCATCATTTGATCCAGGTGCGCTAAACCAGGGGGAGACCTAAACTATGCAGGATGCCGGCCCTCGAGGACCCACTTTGGGGACCACTGCAGTATGGCTTTCCTCTCCTCACTTAATGTGGAGCACACACCAGTGCATATGATGCAGTTCAATAATACTTTATTTATCCCAAAAGGAAAGTAAATGCTGACCTAACTCATATATCATCCAAGTATCTTCAAAGAGTTGCTGTGTTGAAGGAAGGAGTTCCAGTAGTGGGCAGTCTTGCAACGTATACTAGGAAGCCTCTTACTGAAGACACTCGCTGTACGGCATGGCGTGCTAACGGCTCAAAATTTAGGCAGCAGAGACGATATTTCATAGATACATGGCCTAGATGGCACAATGATCTGTTGGCAGCTACTGCTGACCGACCTCATTTGCTGCTGTCTGACCGTTTGGTTAGGGAGAAACGTGTGACCTGTTGCCATCATCCCATCATGACTAATGGAAGCGATGGATTGAAGTCTCTCCTTCTTCTGCTCTGAATCCAGGCAGCCTCTGTTTCAACTCGTAGTTCAGGTATTAGTTCGGCTTGGGGATGCCAATCTGCTGCTCCCAGGAGACGCATCATTCAAACAATCCAAAATTAAAAAAAAAAAAAATAAATAAATGAAAAGTGGACCAGAAAATCCTTCTTCATGAACCAGGGAGAATAATGGTCCAAAAAAAAAAAAAGGAACAATGCCTCAACCAAAATAATTTTGAACAAAAGACTTCAATGTGCTGCCATTATGAGCGGCGCAATTCTGCAATATAATATATATATATATATATATATATATATATATATATATATATATATATATATATATATATATATATATATATATATATATATATATATATGTGAGAGGTACAGAGTTTCCCCCCAGTGTATTATAAGCCTGGCGGGCCACCAGGCTTTACTTGTGCCCCCACCAGGCTAAGCATTGCTTATTTTTAAAATGTTTGCATTTTTTATGGCTTTATAGTTGGTGTTCAGGTATTAATCTTCCAATCTTTTAATAACACAAATATTTTAAAATATCCTGTCAACTTCAAACATTTTTTGTTTAACTCAAAAACACGACGGACCGCTGGATGAATGACTGCCGTAGCGCCCAACCACTGGGAAAGTTTTCTGGGGGAAACCTTGTAGTCCTGACATAAAGCCATCTACTAAAGTTTATACATTTATGTCACAATATTTCTCCTGACATAACATACCGTAGGACAGCTTTCCATGAATGCACCTGGTGTTTTTGTCGCATATGAACTATTGGAGAATGAACTGCGAAGTCCTCAGGCGAGACGAAAGAAGGTTTTTACAGTGTTATGTGCCTCTGTGCACAATATGTGTGTTGGTGAGAGCGTGACTATCTATAGAACGGCAGATCTGCTTTGGCCTCAAGATGAACCGTTTCCTTTCAGATGGTCGCTGGGTATTTTTGGCTCGGTGATAGGAGTGGGTGGACAGTGAGGGTGCATTTGTGTGCGCGGTGCACAGTGACCGGACTTGGAGTCTGACTGCATGGTATCGCCACGCCTCTGATGAGAAACATCTGCAAACAAGAACGAAGCCCCCTCGCTGCAGCCTCTCGCATCGGCTCCAGAAACTCGCTCCTCCGGCCTCTTACTTAAGGACTCTGTCCCTACTTGCACCTCTTCTCCAGTTCATGTCGCACACTCATTGTGCTGCATATGCTGTGATTTATTGAAGTAATATTGACAAAAAGTACTAGTTCGACTGGCAGATTTCTTCACTCAGCAAGACATTTTTCCTATGTTATGAATGAAAAAAATGCTAGTGGAACTAGTGCTTTTTAAAAATATCAATATTCAAGCATTATAGACTTAAACAAGGTTGTATATCCTGCTGAAAAGTTAGTTTTATCTCAATTTTATGAGTAATGACATATTTGCACTTGAAGCCAAACAAAAATTCCTGGTAAGACTTTGTGTTTTTGCAGATAGTGGCGGCTTCTCTCACCGCTGTCCATTCCAGCACTTTCCACTGTCCACAGGCTACGACCAAGCACACTTCCCTGGCAGGCGGTCTTGTCAGGTGCGCACAGGCCGACTCTTCTGCCACGCTGCCCTGGTTGTCACGGCAACTCACGTAGCGCATCCGCGTGCCTTTGCCGCAGCTGGCGCTACACTGTCGAGAAGAGGAGGAACGTCAAGACGACGCAAAAACGTGGAGCCGGCAGACGAGATGGACAGTTCGAGAAAGGGGGACCAACCTGAGTCCAGGAACCAAACCTCCACTGGGTCCTGTGGCCTTGGTGAGACGGGACCTTGGTTACCGGGGGGACAGGGTGGCTGCTGGAGCACTGGGCCACTTCACAGTCCTGTGAAATACGAGACACATACGCCCATTCATGCGGGCGGTTAATAAAACCGCCGTACTGTAACAACATTTGTCCCTAAAAACAAAATGCCAGGAATATCAGAGAGAGGCTTTTATGACAAGGGACCACCGTTAACGAGCTCGGCTCTGTTCCTTCAGCGCCATGTTTGAAAGTGGGTATGGTTCCCATCAACTTTCCCCCCCCTGCCTCCTCCACCTTATCACAACAACATTATCAGGGTCTGCCCTGTCAGTTCAAACTATGGATTGTGGCTGTAAGCCACTCAGCATAAAGCCCTGATCCCTGTCATAACAGGTCATAGTGGAGTGGTATTTAGGGCTCCAATGCCCATGCTGGCGTGGTCCGAAGCTCCACCCCTAATCCACCCCCTTTTCCCTCACCTTCCGCCTTCTCCCCCGCCGCCCCTGCCCTCTGGTGCCCTCTGACCCCCTGTCTCTAGGAATGACGACCTTAATCAGGTCTCACAGACTCTGAGTAGACTACACATTCCACACTCTGCTTCCTAAAAGAAACAAATAGGCCCCACAGCAGCGCTAAAGGTTGCTCCGCACACCCTTCCTGCCACACTTGTACGCGTCTTACTTTGGCAAATCCCCCCGCAGGAGATCGAAACCTTACGTGGCGTCGCACTCCTTTGCACCACCTCTCGGTCCTTGTATTAAAAGTCCCCTCTTTCTATGAACGCATCTCTTTTTCTTTTTTTTTTTCTTTTCTGAGTCCCGCCTGGCGGAGAGAGCGGTGGTGGGAATGGCGGCCTGGTGGCCCACTTCATGGCTGGCTGGTCAGAATTACAACGAGGTAAGGCGACTGCTTCAGGGTCACTGGTCAGCGGTCTCTGCCGACCCAGGCACCGGAATTAAGAACTGCTGCAACTAGAGGGGGCCTCATCCTGACGCTGCAGGATCAGCCCTCTGAAATGGGTTTACGCCCCACGCTGACCAAACAAACCTCTCATTCAGCTTAAAATACTGTATGTTTCTTTGTAGTTTTTGTTTTGTGCGTGTGTGTGCGCATGTTTATGATGATAAATACAAGGGAATGTTCTCCCCTTCAAAATGGACACATTGGAATAGAGATCAAAGGTATCTTAAAACATCAAACCTAAAAAAAAAAAAAAAAAAAAAAAGCTTTTTTACTGGGTGACTTGTAGGGAAAACCTTCATAGGCAGTGGGCATTTTTTTGTTCAGATATTCATCAAAACTGAACATTTCCAACACAATTTGTACTGTTCATTTGCTTTTCAGATCAGTAAGAATTTTAACGTCAGTACTTTCATGTCTGTCGTTTTCTGGGAAAAAAGTTTCATCTAAAATGTCTTTTTTTTATATATTTGAAATGAATTTGGTTTTAGTAACAAATTGGACCAACAATCAAGTTTAAGCCTGAAAGGTCCTGCCTGGTGTCTGGCGGGTCAGGAGCTCAACAAATCCCCAAAAGCTAAAAGTAAAACTTGATCTTCGGATGCGCCGTACCTAAACCACCTGGATCTGACAACAACGCTTTTCCAATGCAGACATTTACCGAGGTAAGAAGACTCAAAGTTTGACGTTTTCATTACATGCGAGATGCTAGCAGCCTTATGAACAGACCAGCAGATCACAGGAAGGCTGAACTTTTGTTCAGCCTTCCTGTGAAGGATGAATGAATGTTTTAGGCGTTTCCTCGCTACAGCACATCCAGTTTGTTGACGTTTGATTAACAGGTTTTTACTCAACTGCCTTCATTAAGAAGTGGCAGGAAGACCATTTCTGGTAGATTGCTGTAAGCCATGTAGGGGAAAGAGCAAATATAAGGAAGAAAGGGGGTGTGGTCAGATTTGATCACTTCTGGACTTTTTGGCCACTGTCCAAAAGGTTGAATATTGGTTTATGAGTGACTATACATAACACTGATCATCTCCCTGAATACACTATCCTCAGTGTAAAACATGGAAGTGGCAACATTATACTTGGGGTGGGATGATTTTCCTCAGCTCAACATAAAAGCAGGGCATTTATCGTATCGTTTATCATTTATCATGATAAATTTCTTAGAAGATTTTGATTTATCGTTTTCATGATAAATTCCAATGAAGGATGTGTAGAAAAAAAAAGTGTTCGTATAGTCAGGATTATTAGTTTTACAATTTTCCTCCACCGTTTTTTTTTCAATAAAAGTGTATGAATAAATATCAATACATTTGAGAATATGATTAAATGGAGTTACTGTGGGTACTTTAGTGATACAAATCACACTTTGTCCTAAAGAAGCTCGTGACAAATGGTAGGTTTTTTTTCAAGAGCATTATTTGTGCCAACCACTTCCATGTAGTTACCTAAAAAAAAGTAATAATAGTTCTTATGATCACTTGTATCGTTATGACAATACTACCACAAAATATCGCGATACAACTAAGTTTTATCGACACAGAAGGAAATAACTATTTCCGTAAGATGTCCAAAACTGAATACAAGTGCACGCCACACTTTTCAGATTTTACATGCCTAAGATGACATATTTTGCAAAGGCAAGAGTCGAGGATGAGACCCGCTCGCTTTCGTCTGCGTCGGTGCGAACGGACGTCTCCTTCATCTGCAGACAAACGTGGAGACGAAGGGACGCCGCAGAGATGCCGTTCCCTCTCACCTGCGTATCAGTGGGTCGCGTGGCAGCATTACATTCAGCGTCGTCCATGACAGCCCCGTAGGAGCCCACCACACACTTCACCGCTCGCATCTGGTAGCCTGGCCCACAAGAGGTAGTGCACTGAGTTCAAAGAGAGAGAGAGAGAAAGAGAGAGAGAGGGGAAAAAAAAGGAGTGGAGGGGAAATGTTAACAACTGTGAAAAGGAGAAAGAGAGGCAAGCACAAAGCAGTTGGTTTACCCGAGGAGGCAATGAAATCTCCCCTGAAAATAAATAACTCTCCACATTAACAAACGGAGGGCTTTCCCGCCGACGGGGAGCAGAAGGAGTTCGTATACGTCGCTCCGGCTGTTTTTTCCACTGTTGCCAAGTCAAAGGGTACAATCCCGCGCTCGCTTCTGGCTCATTGCCTTCGGTGAAACAGGGTCAAACTTGTGTGGCAGCGGCTTTAGCTACCATTTGGCCGCGCTTCATTAAACCGCTTCAAATGCACGTTAACATGCGCACATCCTCTGATGGGAGGCGCAGGAATGTTTCGCATTTTTTGGGTGTTAAGTTTTGTGTGCACAGTTTACAAACTGAGAATGCACACAGACACCGCGCCGTATGCGTCGTTTCAGGAAGAGGCTTTTATCACACGGCCATTCAGGGGGATCTGTCCCGCTTACATTGTCTATATATCAAAACAAGCACATTTCCTGTTTCAGTGCACATTCTACGGGGGAATTTCTACGTTGCGCTTCTTACACGTCGCAGTTTTCCCATTCTTTGACGGATCAACAGCTGGGAAATTCCAGCTCTGTTTGATTTGGAGGTTTAAGAGCTAATCTGCAGCGTCAAATCGCTGGTCTGAGTCGACAAGCCGCTGCTTTGAGCCTAATTAGACGATCGAGTTCCATTTATGTGTGGAGGGTAAAATATTTCCTTTAATGTCTGCTGTCGATGTCGGGAACCCAACCACAGCCTAGTTCAAATGGATTTATATCCAACAGGTTTTCTTCCTGGATTCACCTGTATTTAACTTCATCCATCTTCCTCTCATCTCTGACCACTCCGCCCCGGATTGCTTAAGGCGTCACATTAAAATACATGGAGGTTGCTGGCGGTAACGTGACAAAACGTAGAAAACTTTAAAGGATATGAACAATATCACAAGGCTTGCTGCATCCATTGGGGCCGTACTTTAAATTTACCAATAACAATGAGAACAGAATGAAGTTTCATGCAAAAGTAGCTGCGCTTGTGTTCTGAAGAGAGCCGCAGCTGCGACTGCTTCCTGAGCACAAATCGGCTGCAGAAAAATCTGGCCTGTAACGTTCCACTAATTGCGCAGACTGAATTAGATCTGTGAATCATGGTCATTTAGATTAGCACTGGTGAGGGGTCTGAAATCAGCTCTGCATAAATAATTGCAGCTGTAGATGTACAGTCATGGAAAAAGGAGTCTCCAAAACTACCAAACTGGTTATCGCAAAGAAGGTCAGGAGTAGGTTTTCCACTCGTTGGTATTCTTTTTCACGTCATGATGACAAACCTTAGATTTTGTTTTTTTCATAGTTGATGTTTTCCCTCCGGCTTTTGGCAAAAACCTGCCAAAAACCTGCGCAAATAAATGTCTAAATCGTCACTACCTGCTGCTAATTTCTCTCTAGTCACAGGAACCCTGACTTTACGTTTGTTCAAATCTTCGAGAGAAACAAAACACGTTGAGTGTTAGCAAACACAATAAGCATGCAGAGGGACAACTCACCTGTCCCCACGGTCCAACTTGCCAGGAGGCGCACTCTTGCTGCTGGCACGTCTGCACCGATTCGGGTTTGGCCGCGCCACAGAAGCGGTCGTCCAGGCGGTCCTCACCAAACTGGCACCATGTCTGTCTGTGCCTGTAGCCTTTCCCGCACGTCACAAGGCACTGAAAGGGAAAACGTTGAAAGCGACACAGAAGCAGCACAAGACGTTAATTGTGTTTGTTGCAACTGCCCTGTTTACGATGATCTGAATGAAGACGTTTTCAGAGCAAATCGCCGTCACATGGGAGCGAGAGGCCAGAGGAAGTGTGATTATGCATATGTATATAGAACAGTGGAAGTGTTTCGGCAGCAACATGTAAAAAAAATAAAAAAAAATCCTGGAATGCAGCCCACAGTTTTGCAAGCTTCACTATGTGTAAACTGAGCAGAGGTTAAGCAGGCTTCTACCCTGCAATCACCACTTTCCCAACACTCACTTACAATGGAGGAAGTGGATAATTTAAAGCAACTGAGACAAACCAAATTAGTCCTAAGATTTTGGTCCGAATGAATTGAAATTGCAGAAAAGCAAATAGGTCTGCATAGATTTTAGTTAGAAGCTGCAGTCTGTAACTTTTACGAAAAATATGTTTTTAACACATTTGTAGAAATTACCATCATGTCATGACAACGTCATATAAGAAAGATCTCTGAGCTCCTCTGCCTTCGCCCAGTGCTGCCAATACTAAATGCAGAAATACATGACTCAATCAGAAACAACCAGTCCCAAGAAAGGAGGATGGTCTCAACGCTGTCAATCACTCTGGTGTACGCACCGCTCACATCCTACGCCTTGCTCTCTGCTACGCAACAGCTTGTTCCCCCGCAACACAGCCTGCCACAAATGCTAGGGCTAGTTAGCGTGCCCACAATGACAGTGGATAAACCGTTTTTTCTGTAATGGTAAGTTTCTCTGCTGTTAAGCAGCATGTACACCAGGATGTTTGACAGCACTAAGACTTTCCTCCTGGCTCTGATTGCTTGTTGTTGATCGGGAGCGGCCCACTTTTCCATGCCGCAATAGGAGTTCAGTATAAAACTGACAACATGGTGACAATTTTAACAAATATGGAGAAAACCATATTTTTGTAAAAGTTACTTAACACACATTTAATGTCATAAGGTGTTTAGAATTATTTAAAAAACAACAACAACAACAACAACAACAAAAACATGCGATCATTCCTCAGCTGACCTCAGACCAGTCACCAGTCTTCCACTGTGGACAGAGGAACTCATTGCAGGGTTGGACGGTCAGTTTATCCCTCTGACTGCAATTGCTCTCATCGTCGTCTTCGCCGCCGGACGACTTTCGACACACTGCGCCCCGCCGCCTCGTGCCTCCGCCGCAGCTCTTCGAGCACTGCGATCGAAATAGCCGGCCGTCAACAGGAGGGAATGGCCAAGCAAAATCCAACAAAACCCTTCCCGTCCTGCTAGAATCGTACCTCTGACCAGGGCGAGTAATCCCAGCCGCCACCAGGGTTACAGTCGCCATGGCAGCCTTCCCTGTCGTCGGGTTTGCGTTGCCCGCTGCAGTACCTGTCGTCGACTTTCTGGGTCTTGCCATCCGACTGGCTGATTTTGGCACAGTACAGTTCCAGAGTGCGATATCCAACGCCGCACTGGGCCGTGCACTCGCTCTTACGAGCCACGTGCCATCTGGTACGAGAGACAGAGAGAGGACGGGTCCCTCAAAAGTGCCGTACAAAGTGAAGAGCAGCAGACGAACCGAGAGGGCCCCGTTTGGGCACTGAAAAGTCGGTCTAAATCGGTCAAACGGACCTCACTTCACATTCAGTGTTGCAGGGCTCAGTGATGGCAGCGGGCCGGGCTGAACTGTGGCACCGCTGGTCCGACACCACCACCCTGTCCGACTCTCGGCTGCAGAGGATCTTACGCTTGCGCTCTCCTGTTGAGATACAAAACAGCAGAACTGAGTAAGTATCGTTTAAGAGGTTTTGTATGCAGTGCTTTTATTAATGAAACTTTTCTCTTTGCGGTAAAGTTCAACTGGAGCTTTCTGTGTTGGGTCCAGACCAAATAAATATAAAATAGGTACACTAGGATTTATTCTTCATAAACATGATAACTTGTCAGCATTTACTATGACTCCTTACAATGCATGCATCTTTTAAAGTTAGCGTTTTTTAATACGTCGATGCCACGGACCACCTATTTAAAGCTCAAGTGCTTGCAAACAGTAGGTGAGAATCACCAAGTCTTGCGTTTCAGTGCAATGAGAGCTTAGTGTGTTCCTGCTGAGGACATTACATGCTTGCTGTGCGACCTGCTCAGTTTTCCCTCCAGCTCCGGCCGCGCGGTCTTCCCGACAGAGTCGTGTCAAGAAGCAGAGAAAGAGATTCAAAGTGTGTCGCGGCAGAGAGCAAGTTTTTCGAGTTTACCTGCGATCCACCCCCACAGATCCGAACCACTCTGAGAAACCCACGGTCACGTCGGGGAGGGTAATATATCACAGCCCACTTGCTGTAAAAGTGAACTCGGTCGCAAGCGACATTTTCAAGGCGGTTCTCGTCTTGAATGTCTTGCGACTGTGAGGCTCCCACGTCTGCCATCTTCCATGTTTTCTCTGCTAGGAGCGTCGCATTTATCTGCAAACATTTCTAGCACTAAGGCCTGCCAACCACATGTGCCCCCCCCCCCCCCCCCCCCCCCGAACCCTCAACCCCCGCCTCACCTTGGCACAGGCGGCTGCACTCCTGCCAGGGCCCGTAAGCGTCCCAGAAGAACTGCTGAGGCTTATCCTCTATGGGGATATTAAAGGAGTAACTGACATCTGGGTTGTAAAGGTTTCCAACGGAGAGAACCTGGAGGGAGCACAGAGAAATACAGTTCAACACGGTGAGAAGAGAAAATGAAGCGACGGATTGTTCACTCGTTTAACGCGTTAATGCTTTTTTCCACATTCTGTCATGTTATAGCCACAAACGTAACAGCTTTGGACGTTTAGACACAGGGATGGGCATTTATCACATCGTTCACCATTTATTGTGATGAATTTATCATCGTCACGTTGTTTAAAAAAAAAAAAAAAAAAAAAAAAACCAAAACCCGGCTCCCCCCTTTTTTTGTTTTCCCGGGGGGGGCGGCCCC